CCCCCCCCCCCACACTCACTTCCTCCCTCTGTTCCACCTTCCTCATTTCGTATCGCTTGGACTGAATGTGTTGTCTAGAAACTGCACATTAACACAGACTTTATCCTGTCCTTTCCCCGCCCTTTGAAAGTTTACAAGTTGGCTGAAGACTAATAGCCCAACACATTGCATGAAATTGCATTTCAAAAGAGTAAGGCCATTATTTCACAGTGTCAAAGTTTACTGTTAGGATTATTTGCGCCTGTGCTATAGAGTGAGAAGCTGTGACATGTTACGTCCCCTATGAGCAATGCGAATGGACCAATTTTAAGCGTTCTGTTGTAGGGGGTATTTTAAGATGGGAGGAATTATTTAAAAAAACAATCTACGAGCACTCCGTTACAGTTCTAAACAAAATATATACCCATGAACAAAATTAAATAAGACTAGAATGAACATGTAAATCATCTCGTCGAAGTATGAAGTTTTCTGATAATGGTGCGTTATAATAATTAAACATTTTCTTCAGAACATTGTCCATCGTGTAAATTATAACATTACGACGTTTCGAAAGCTTGATTCTGCTTTCGTGATGCGGTAAAAGAGAGAAAGGTGGTAGAAGACTTATCTGTTGGGGCCTCTGGTTGGGTCTGGCGAAGTCCAGAAGACAGGGTTCTCACCAAGGTGTTCTTGTTTTGGGCAGGGCCGCTGTGATGGCCGAGGACCGCGTGGGTGGCAAGGTGTCGGTGGCCCTGTGCGGGGTGTGTTGCCGGCCAATCTGTGACAGGTACATCATGCGAGTGGTGGACGTGTCATACCACGAACGCTGCCTGCAGTGCAGTGTTTGTGGAGCACGTCTTGCCCACACCTGCTTCACTCGCGACTCCAAACTTTACTGTCGACTCGACTATGACAGGTGGGTAAGCACTTCAGACATAAGACTTGCTTTCAATACGACTCTCTTCGACGAGTTGCAACTATTTTTCGTTCATCATTTATGTATTCTTGAGATCTCGGGTTGAAATCTCGGCCCGGAACTAGTTTCTCTCAGTTTTTCTTAGTTTTCTCAGTCCCTCCAGGTAAATTCCGGGGTAGAACCTAAAATTAAGTTATAGCTGCTTCCTTCCGTATCCTTCCAATTTATCATGTATTAGCCGTTCTATCATTTATTCCTATAGGCCTATAAATTAGTCTGAACTATTGGCAGCATCCTAAAATAAGCAATTAAAAAATAACACATTTCTCTTACTATCTCTTTCAAATATATATGTTGATTGGTAATTATTCTTTAAAATTAGTATTTCCCGTACAATAAACCGGATTATATTCCTTAGTTAAATAATGGTATTAAATGATATTAATTATGTGCTGCTTTGTTAGGCTTTTCAATAAGGGTGTTTTAATCAGTACCTTAAACATTCTCTTTGTTATTTAGGATAATTTACTAGCATATTATTCAATTTCTTTTGTGAGTGTACTAAATAACGCTGATGAATAGTAAGCAGTCGAAAACCACCTGAAAAAGATCTGTTACACGAGGTCCTACGTTCGGCCCAAACTACAGCCCATTAACCTTAAAATAACAAATAACCTGTTAGGACAATCAAAGTTTCTTGAAGAAGGCTTCAGAGCCAACTCCCGAGACGTCGCCCTAACGATGGAGGCAGTAAGCGCCTCCAAAACTGCGGTAAATTTCTATGATACCAGACGGCGCAATATCCCAAAAGACAGTGTTCTTCGTACTGGCAGCGATGAGAACCTGAAATCCCACAGAGACTACTAAATGCTTAAGAAAAATTAACAACCCTGCATTCCCACACGAAGCTTTCATAGAGTACATAGAGTTTTTAATTGGTTCAATTTTCGATTAAGCCTTTCAAGTGCTGCCTAAGATAACTATTTCTTTCGTATTATTCACATTTGTAAAGGCTTCCATCAAGATATTTATGGTCTCTCGTTGAGAAAATTATGTAAAATGCAAGTGTTTGAAAACAAAATACTTGATACTAAAGGCGATGAAGTACGTAGAGAATGTAGGATAAATTATAACAAGAAACTTTGTGATTTATGCTGTTATTCTTACAATCGTGAAATCAAGGAAGGTGAGATGCATTCGATGTTTCGGGGGAACATACTGCCTCCATCTTCAGGGTTATCACTTCAGCCCTGAACAAGAGGGACTTGAATTGTTGAAAATAAGATATGACTGTTTTAATAAGGAGCATCGGCATATTTTGGTGTGCCAAATTTCGCATGTATTTCAAGGTAATTTTCCGGTACTACAGAAGTGACTTTGGCACAGGACTTTTGTCTGAGAAAATTTAGGACCTACATGTACATTACATGTTTATATGTTTAAAATTAAAGGTCTAAGACGAAATACTAGCCAAAACTGCAAAAAAAATTCTATTAAGGATACCCTACAAAGAGAATCAGGTTTCCTAATCTAGTTATAGAGGCAAAAGCGACACAGTATAACACACTTAGTTACTTCGATTTGTTTCAGCTGACAAAATTTGAAAGCGGTGCTAATGATAGGAAAGACACTAAAACTGAACAATAAAACCTTCTCGGGCAATCAGCCGCGTTAACTGGTTAACTGAAGATGGGGACAGAGTATGTTCCCAAAACGTCGGTTTACTAAGGTAACCAGTTAACCAGCTGATTGCCCGAGAAGATTTTATTGATTGTACTCGCCTCGAAAGTCTCAAATCCTATAACATTAAAACTGCTTTATAGACATACAGCCCCAGAAATTTCCAAGCCCATCCTTGATATTTTCTTCCTACGAATGTTAATGTTAACATTTTCTAACCTTGGAGATCCACGAATTTGGATATATGAACATTTTGTAAATCCTTGATCTGTAACTTAGACTTGGAAATGAGTTTATAAACTCCTTCTTACGTTATTTCAGCGTTACATTTGCATTTCGTATTCTTTAATTTTCTCTTACATTGCAAATATTCCCTCCACCATTCTTTTCTGCTCGTCTCTTCAAGATTTGCTTTTATTTATTTAAGGCCTCATTAATGGGCTTCCTTGTTGCTACTGTTTATCGTTTCTCATGCCTTTTACATGAGCAGCTAACTCTGTTCCCTTCTTTCTCCACCTAACGAGACATCTCCGCTTCAGCTGTAAGTCGTGGATGTAAATAAAATTCAGGCTTCAAAACTATTAATTTTATTACGGCCGGATAAGAATGAGTAGGGTGAGGAAGGACTCTAATGGATAATAAATGGATATAAATACCACTGCTGCTGTTGTGCTTGGAATATATTAATACATTATTTGCCGTGTCATTTGAGAGCTAGACCACACGTGTATGCGCACACAAGAGTCCATATATTGTAGTCGCTCCCAAACACATATAGTAGTCAGATCACAAAGGGCTTCTGAATAGTGGATACGTGTTGCGGTGTGGGGTACAAAGTTTGAACCCCCCCCCTTTTCACTGTACTATTTTGTACGGTTACTCTCACCCCCAGAACTCCTGTGCCCTCTAAAAAGCCTCTGCGTTAATGTTGGGACGTTTAAAAAAAAGTCAGACTCGATCCAGTCTCTTTGTGGACATCACGCGCGTGATACTGGAGAGGGGATGATGGGACACTCCCTCTTACTTCCCCTACTTTTTTTTTTCAGTGATGTCACAGGTGCTGACTTTCAGCTGAGGTTGCAGTATATTGTTTGTCGGTGCCTTGGTTGCTACCAAGTCACAGAAGTGTAATATGTTCCTGAGGGGCGGTTGACGGTATACGTGATGAGGGGTGCTGGAGGTGGGGTCAGAAACGCGTGCCGTGGTTTATTTTATTGAAGAGGGAGAACGTATTTTTACCAAGAGGGTTGTTGTTGACGGGGGAGGTGGGGAATATACATGTACACTTTACTCTTTGATGTTTTGATCTCCCAATAACTACGCTAGTGGACCGTACGTTAAATTTTGATATTACTGGGCCAACGAAACCGTTTGAGATTCAAGTTAGTGGACGGGATGCAGATAAATTAGCCCTGTAATTACAGAATTTTATTATAAAATTGTTTTTATGTTCAGAAATATTCCATGGTAATTCGTGAGTGTATCTTAATGAGACAACATGATAGTTTTTAATAACATCTGGAATATGTGTCAGGGACCCGTGTATTAAAATGTTCCAAGGATTTTAATTATTAATTTCATAGGATTCCTGTATCGCAGTTCGGCACTTAACTTTGTTAAATTATTAGTTGGTGAGTAACACCAAAAAAACATAAAATTCATTCATCATTCAATAATCACAAAAACAAATTAGTTATAATAACCCGATCCTCTGATAACAACCCACGATTATCAGAGAAATGAAATGTCATCTGCAAATGAAACTTTCACACTGTCACCAGTCAAACTAAGACGTTGTCCTTCGTTTCTAATTGTTACAAAAAACTTCATACAACAGAGTCCTTGAAAAGCTAACAGCCACTAAGCTAGATTAAACATTCAACCGAATTACATCACACGAGCCTACCATTGGTATCTTGTTCTTGACCGGGGCCAGATTAAGCCAATCCACATTCTCACACACAATTTCTCCAAGATACATTTTGATAGCTTCCTCCCGTATACACCAACGTTTCTCTTGCTTTTTCATCAATTTTTCCTACAAAAATTGAGCATGCATTTCTCTTCGCTAATATTAGTCCGACATTCACTAGCAATTATCCTTGATTTGATCATCTTGTTGATATCCCATAAAGAATACAACGAATGAAGCTTCTAATTTCGATATTCTTCCCCCTTAGGTCCAAATATTATCCATAGCGCCGCGTTATCAAACGTTCTTCATCTACTCTGTCCGCTTGGAATGAGAGAAAAAATTTTATATTAGCGACATGTAAAGCTTACCAAAATGTTATTAATACATCAATTAATTCACGCAACAGAACACATTTTTTACGACGCTAAAATCTGAATAAACCAGAAATAAATACGAATGTTAGTAGGTCAGTCTGCTTTAATTGGGTCTGTAAGTTATTCCTACATTGAAAATCAAAAGACACGAAATCACGCATAAACTTAAAGGATACTGAAGTTCTGTTGATGGCTGATTAACAATTAAGCTTCTGACGTAACTGAAGTCACAATAATCTTATTTACAAATAACTGGTACGCTCTTAGCACATGAAAATGATTTTACATTGAACAAAGAAGGCACGTGCACTAGTCATATCTATTAAACAGAAGAGTTAATCAATAAATAGCAACACAATCTTTAAATAAGACGATCGCCATAAAGTGGAATCGTTATTGAAAAGCTAATAGTCGCTCACCCAGTCAAGAAATTCCCGGATTCTTTTTGGGCCCCTACAGGTTCGTCATTATGTACACATGTCATTAAGATGCTTATGTCGATAATCGCTTAATGCTTAGTATCATAGGACTTGTTCACCTTCACATACTATTACACCACGTGCGATACCACATCGTCTATACCAGTGGTATTCAACCCGGGGTTCCCGAAGACATCTTAGGGTGTACGTGAAATTTAAAAAACATATATATAATTTTATTATAAACACTGAATAATCAGTAATGTAATTTATTTAATTTATTTTAGATGTAGATTATATAATATATATAACTTGAATTATACACCAACAACTTTGGGGGTAAAAAGTTGAAGAGAAATTATATCTGGGGGTACGCGAACAAAAAGGATTGAATACCACTGATCTATACGAACTGATATGAGTTTGCAATAGCAATGACGAAATAGATCCATGCTGTATTTTATTTGTAGTCACAAAATAAGCCTCGATATAAAAAAAGAGAGAAGAGAAACAGAAGTATCGATATGCAATACTACGGCTTAAAACTCACGACAAAATTCGAATCAAAGCTGTGTCATATTTAGAAAGTTCCGTCAGAATCCTCTTGCCACA